CAGGAGTTTAACCAAAGAGGATAGGAAGGTGATGGGGAGAAGGAAAGGGGAGGGGAAAGAAGAGAGAGTGAGAAGAGAGAGAGAGAATTTCAAAGCATTTATTAAGTGATTACTACATGTCAGGCACTGTGCTAAGAGCTGGTGATACAAACACAAATAATACAGTCTCTACCCTCTTGGAGCCGACATTTTAATTGGGGTGGGAGCAGGTGGAGACAAGCATATAAAGGAGAGCTAGAAAGGAGGGGAAGGTAGGGAAAGGTACCTCTGCAGGGTCAAACCATTCAGTGAGGATGTGGAGAATTCAGGAACTGAGTCAGCCAGGAACGAAATGAACATGTCTAGGATCCCTCAGAAATGAGGGACCCCAGGCTACGTTGCCATCAATAGGAAGTATGGGCCTCAAATATAGTACAATCACTAGCAAGGGATAGTAGGATAAAGCAAAAATAAGCCAGGAGATGGGTGTGAGGGTCTGACGAATAGGGAGAGGGACCTCGGTCCAGCTAGAGAAGTGTGTATATGCGTGGGGAGTGCTGGAGTCTTAACTGTGGGCAGCCATGATGAAATAATTCCTGAGCGGCCATGTTTAGTCTAAGTGACAAACACCAACTGCTTGAACCTAGTTGGAGAAGGTCCTGGGGACAAAGATAGCTCAGGTATGTAATGAGAATAGATGTTATGACTTTAACAAGATGGTAGGAATAAGTTTGTAAACTTAGCATAACTAACTCCATTTTGTTTTAGACTTCCATTTTGTGATCAAATTATTTTGAATAAATTGTTTTTCTAGAAGTTGTTTTTCAATACTAAGATAAGCACTTATATGGTATGATCTAGTAAGTAACCTGTGTTTGTAAACAATTGATAGATATATGTGGACCCTCTATAGAACAGACCACCAATGAAAAAAATATCAAACTTTATCAGTAGGTACTACCAATCAAATTATGCAGTAAACAAATTAGGAACACCCCTAGCTAGAACCATCAAAAATCCAGCAGAGGCCCCAGCTATCAGCCTGCTCTCCTGGACAGGCTCCTTCCTGCCTCTCCCCAAACTCCACACTCGAGGAGCCTGTTTCTCCTCTGAGGACAGTGCCTATTGATGGAGACTTGCCAGATGACAGCCTCCCGCTGGGCACAGAGGTTTTGTGAGGACTGGTTGTGTCCAGCTCTTCCTTACCACCTTATGCCATCTTTTATGGGACCTCTCAGAAACAAGTTGTTGGTTTGTTCTCAGAAGGGATGATGTTTGTATTGTTTGTACATATTGATTAATTAAGTTTGACTGCATGTATTACAATGTGTAAATGTAATTGGTGTTTAATTGGTGCCAGTTAGCATATGACAGAAAATCATTTATAAGCATGCACCATATATCACAAGATATCACTTTCTACCAGAGACATTTCTGTTTCCTCCAGATGTCAGTGATCTTCTACCAGCTCCCCAAATTACTCTGAATTTACATTATATATAATACGTATTTACTTACTTATGGACAAGGTTGATTCCCCCCAGTAAACAATCATTGTTTCTTGTTCATTCTTTGTTCTAGAAGAGGACCAACGACATGCCGAGGGTGAGGTCTTGACTTACTCATGAAATGAAAATGAGTGAGGCAAAGTTGACAACCTCACTGTCTCCTCCAGAGTCATCAAAGTCTAGCGGCAAAACAAAGTTCAAGACAACTGGCCAATCAATCATTAAGCTTCTATTAAATCTCCACTCTGTGTCGAAGCACTTGCTAAGCCCTAAGGATACAAAGACAATGAACAAAACAATCTCTACTCTCAAGGCAGACATCGTTAAGGATTCTCTTCCTAATTCCTGAGACTGTGTCTAAACGCTTCTAATGAACTACCAATCAAATTATGCAGTAAACAAATTAGGAATACCCATAATACCTAATTCTAAATGCTTAAGAAATGCTTCCTGAATTAAATTGCATTTCTGTCAGAAAGAAACAACAGGACAGAAAATTGTTGATAGACTCTTATCATTATTTCTGCACATTTACAAGCATTATTTTTCTAAAGAGAAGAGAGGCAGTGTAGTATAATGGTTACAAAGCTGGCCTCAAAGCCTGGAAGACCTGGATTAAAGTCCTACCTCTGAGGCAAATTAATGAGGAGGCACTGGAGAAGTAATTTAATCTCTCAGCACTTTTTTTTTTTTTGGTGAGGCAATGGGGGTTAAGTGACTTGCCCAAGGTTACACAGCTGGTGAGTGTCATGTGTCTGAAGCCTCATTTGAACTCAGGTCCTCCTGACTCCAGGGCCAGTGCTCTATCCACTGAGCCACCTAGCTGTCCCTACTCAGCACTCTTTGAGACTACAGATTGCAGAGTAGGGCAGTGGTAATGGGCGTTTCCTCACTGAGAAGTTTTCTACGCCTATGAAATCATTGGTCTAGTCCCTGTTCCTATTTACAAAAAGGAGCCTGTGCATGGTGGCTTGAGAGATGCTTTTTGAAGTCAAGATGACCTAGATTCAACTGCTGCCTAGAAAGCAGCAAATGGTTTGGAAAGGCATTTTACCTTAGTGGCCAGACCATATAAATTATCTGAATCAATGAAGGGCGTTTCTGTACTGGGGCTTCTCTTCATTGTAAGCCCTGACCAAAAAAGAAAAAAGTATTTTATAGGGCATTATGTGGAAACAGGCTGCTAGGTGGCTCAGTGGGGAGAGCACTGGGCCTGAGGAAGACCCGAGCTCAAATCCAGCTTCAGACATTTACTAGATGGGTGACCCTGGGGAAGTGATGTCACCATTTGCCTCAGTTTCCTCATCTGGAAAATGAAATGGAGAAGGAAATGGCAAACTACTCCAGTATCTTTGCCAAGAAAACCCCATGAACAGCATGAGGTCACAAAGAGTTGGGCACAGCTAAACAACAACATTTAGTAACAGGGACAGTATCAACTTTATGTTAATGGTGAAATATACAAGTTATGTTTTTATTACAAAGAATTTGTTTTAGCAATTTTTATAAATATCAACAGAAACTAGAAGTGTGGCAGTGTCCCAATTTTGGAAACCTTAGTGGGCTTAGTGTAGTTAAGCAGCATTTCACGTACAGTCCTGAACTTTTCCCTTCTTTCCCAGAGTGTTCTCTGGCTTTTCCCTCTATTTCCTTGGGGCTTAAAGCTTCAATGTAGAACCTTGGAAGGTTCATCTACAGATGAACAGAATTCCAAGGAATGCAAAATATTCTGTTGGTGTTTTCCTAGTGGCTGAGATTCAGGAAAAATTACTAAGTAAACAAGAGGAAGAAACATGACAGTATTGAGCTAGCTTTGGTGTATGTTTTGAGAAAAGCAATTACCTGCAGTTACGTCATGAGTATTTAAAAGCATAATCAAGTCATTACTTGTATTCACTTAGCTAAACTGAATGCAGCTAAAAAATAAAAAATGAAACCTCAATAGCTACTGTAAGCTGGATAATCACAGCTATTTAAAAAGTTAAGAAAGAGGAGTCAGTAAGTAATTAAGACCTTTGGCTAAACACTTCACAACTCTGGAATTCATTTTCCTTATGTACAAAAAGAGGGAGTTGGATTCCAAGATGTCAAAGATCCCTTTTAACTTCAATTCCTGTGAGCCTGTGATCTGAGTTCAAAGTACTCATTCCTGACAAAAGACTTACAAAACCTCAAGGTCCATAAAACTAGGACTCTGTTCACGGGGGGTTGGGAGGGAGGTGGCCGTGGTGAAGAGGATAGTGTGGTGAAGGAGACAGCTACAGCTCAGATGTCAGTCCAGTCTTGGGCACGGTTGTACCAGGAGGAAAAGAACATGAGTCAATCAATTGGCAAGCATTTATTAAATGCCTACTATGCACCAAACACTGAGGATGTAAAGACAAAAAATGAAACAGCCCTGCCCTCAAGGAGTTTACATTATGTTGGCGGAAACAACCTATACATAGAACAGAATATACCACACAGATACAAGATAAATCCAAGGTAGAGTGTGAGACCTAGCAGTTGGTGGGGATCAGGAAAGGCTTTCTGTAGAAAAGCTGGTGCTTCAGGAAATGAGGGCTTGCATAAGACTAAGGTGAAGGGAAGTGCATTACAGTCATGAAGAATAGCCAATGCATTCCCTACAGATCCTTGGAGAACAAAGGTTCTTAACCTTTTTTTTTTTGAGCTATAGACCCTTTTGGTGGTCTGCTGAAGCCTATGCTCTGAATAGGCTATTGAAACCCTTCTCAGAATGTTTATAAATACATAAAATACATACGATTACAAAAAACTCCAATTATATTGAAATAGACATATATTTTTTCGTATCAGAGTTCACAGACCTCCTGAAATGTATTCTTGGACCCCTTGGGGGGTGGAGGAAGTCGTGGACTGCTTTGCAAAGAATGCTTGCTACAAAGTATGAGAAGGGAAGAAGGGCTTCCATCAGAAGGTGCCATGGCTAGAAGACCCTGGAGTTGGGATCAAGGTGTGGGGGAGGTGTGGGGAGTAGAGGAGAAGAGGATGGGTGAAGGAACATGATCATCCACTGTGTCAGCAGGCTGGAAGGTGATCTCCAGATAGCCCAGGGAGGAAGAGTGCCCTCTTAGGAGGAAGTACTCTCCCATGAATGTCAATGCTCTGGTTAAAAGCTTAAGTGGCCCTGTCCCAGATACAGCTCTACTAAGATCTTATAGGATCATCAAATCCACAGCTGGATGGGACCTTAGAGATTATCTAGTCCAGGTGTTTTTAAGCTAGGAATCATAAACCATGGATAATTTCAGGGGGTTCATTAACCTGGATGGGAAAAAATTACATCTTCATTTTAACTAACTTCTAACTAAAATTACGCATTTCCTTATTTTAAAATATTTTAGAAGGGTTCTACAAACTTTGCCAAAGGGGTTCATAACACAAAAAAGTTAAGAACTCCTGATCTAGTCTCACAACTTTATTTTACAGATGAGGAAACTGAGGTCCAGAAAGACTTGCTCATGTGACTTGCTCAAGGTCACAGAAACTTACAGTAAGTGGCCAAGCTGAGATTAAAATCCACATGGTCTCTCCTGAGTCTCTTCTTTGCCATCCTTGATCCTGTCAGGGCTGGGGTCTGATGAGTCAAATGAACAGCCAGTTAGTTCAGCCTCTTCCTTTGAAGGGGATTTCTATGAACCACCTGCTAAGGACAGATCAAAATCCATTTCTCACTTCACCACTTGCCAGCATATACACCCCTTTCACTAAGCAGCCTGTAGGTAAAACTGAGAAACAATAATCAGATTATCTGCCACCATTTATTGGGTCTCTTTTTTCTTCTTGTTTCTATGACAGCATGTAACTGTGCTGACCAGCTGGGCAGGGCATGTTAGGCCAGGAATTCTATTTCCTATCTGCTGAGCAGTAAAGAAAGAGAAAGATGACAAAGAGGACGGAGAGAGATCTTGTAGTCTGGTTTGAGGCTGTTTCTTACACATCCTGGATTTCAGACCTAAAGAGCAAATAACAAGAACAATAGTAGTCATAGTGATAATATCTTTCATCTATAGTTTTACCTGAAATTATTTCACCATTCCTATCAGTTCCCCTGGCTGACAGGCTCCACCAGCAAAACAACCACAAGAATTTCTTCATTCCAAGCAGAGAATTGGAAGTTGCTTGATTCCCAGGCTTTTAAGGAAAAGGGAGGTCAATAACTATGATGATTTGTCCTAGCATGACTACTTTTTTGTTATAAGGGAGGCCTTCTACCGAAGGGAGAGGGAAGGTAAGTTTGTGAGAAGTGACAGAGATTCAAGGAGGGAAGGAAGGAAGGAAGGAAGGAAGGAAGGAAGGAAGGAAGGAAGGAAGGAAGGAAGGAAGGAAGGAAGGAAGGAAGGAAGGAAGGAAGGAAGGAAGGAAGGAAAGGAAGGAAAGAAGGAAAATGGAAAGAAGGGAGAAAGGAAGGAAAGAAGGGAGGAAGGAAGGAAAGAGGGGAGGGAGAGAGTGAGAAAGATTGATAAAACAAAAATATACAGAAAAAAACAAAAAGAAGTTCAGAAAAGGACACAGAGCAATTTTGTACCTACAGTGTTATATTTAATATACTTTTTTCTTTTATTTCTTTCCAAAAACTTTTTATTCTGAACTTAAGCACCAAAAAGGGGAGAAAACATTTTTCTATTCACAGCAGAACAAAAGGAAAACTGTATATAAAGCCATGAGTTTCAATTTCATACATCTGTCTTTTGAAATGTGAAGTCTATTGACCAGGTCCCTGTTACTATAATAACGCTTGTGGTGGAATCATATTGCAACCCCTACCTGGGCAGATAGTGGCAAGAACCTAGCCAGATGAATTTCCTTATCTATAAACACCTAGAGGCTGACAAAACTTAATAGGTTGTATACCCCAGGGGTGATCTGTATAAATGGGACCACCCTAATTTAATTCACTGAAGCCTCCATCCAAATCTAAGCAGGATGCTGGAAGGGTCACCTATAGAAGGGGAGCTTAATTAGGGTCTGTGAACTTGTTTCCCTCTCACCTGGTTATCCAAAGGTCTAGGTAGCTGCTGAGATATGGACAGATGTTGGTTATTTCTAAAGAGATATCCTGCTGACCCATGATTAGAAGGTCCTTTACAGAAGCATTCCTGGACCAGAAATCCAATTGTGTCTCCAGTTTGTCAAAAAGTCGCTCCTAATATTTGAACTGCTTTGCATATGTAGATATTTACCCCCATACCTCCCTCCTAAAGAAAGGGAAACCTATTACAGCCCATTTTGTTGAGGGGTGAGGGGTAGAAGTGACCTGTAAAAGACAAGGAATTTGCAGAAGACTTTATGTGGAAAGACAGTGACCAAAAAGTGTTTCCTAGTTTCCAGCTTCAGAAGGCACTCTTGTCTAACCATAGCCAGTGGAATTATATGCAATACCTGCTCAGTGAAGTAATGGCATGAATCTGAGCAGGTAAATTCTCTTATTTGTAACTGCCTAGAGACCTGCCTGACCCTCTAAGTTGCCTATCAAGGTGCCATTCGCATAAAAGGGATCATCCTAATTTGACTCATCTGGATTGAGCCAGTGATGCTCATTCCCCAGTAGGCTATCTTCTTACAGGGTCTCTACTCAGACATAGTGTTGGTTCTCCCAGGATTCAAACCAAGGCCCTCTGCAGGATATAAGAACTGAATTGATCAGCCATGTTTTGATTAATCACCAGCTAAGCAGATAAAAAACCTGAAACTTAAAGAGGTGGCTAACTTGCCCAAAACACACAACTGAAAAATAACAGGTACAGATATACAACCCATATCCTCTAAATTAAAATTCATTTTTCTTTCCATTATACCATAGTGGGGTATGGAGAAGGAATGAGACAAATGAGAATCCAATGGAGGATTCTGACCTAGAACCAAGGTTTTCTAATGCCTGCTTTAGAAGGTGTGAGTGTGATTCTGACTCTCAAAGACTGTACAAATATAGTAAGGTTAAACTTATTGCCTGGTCAGTCTCTTCCGAAATAAGAAGCTCCTCCCCCCCAAAAAAGAAGAAGAAGAAGAAGAAGGCACCTCTCCACTGGAGAGTTATTTAACTTTTTAATAGTAAGAGGCCCTTTTATGATATGTTTTCTTGGGGGCCTGGAATTAAAACTTGTGCAGTTGTTTATTCTACTTCTTAATGAAAATCATAGTAAAGAGTTTCTTCTTATCACCAAGAAGGAAGTTCAGTTTTTGTTTTTAATGGGTATACAGGGTACAGTTACATATAGGTTCTTAACCTGGGGTCTTGGGTTTTTGAAAAATATTTTGATAACTATATTTCAATATAAATAGTTGCCTTTGCAAACCTGTGTACTTTATGTTATACATTTACAAGCATTAGTCTGAGAATCAATAGGCTTCACCTGATTGCCAAAGGGATCCACAATACAAAAAAAAAAGGTCAAGAAGCTTTGATATAGAAGCTACCAGAGTTGATTCAACTCAAAACTTCTGAATTAATCTGGAACTAGAAATTACAGTTGGTGTTTTCAATAGGCTGCTGAAAGTACCAGTTTGTATCACAACAGCACCATACAACCTGCAAGTTACAGTTTGATCTTTGTTTCAGTAAATTCATCTCAGTATAGGCTGCTCCCAAATATAGGCCACTATATTTGCTCTTTGGAAGGAAATTCTCTCTCTATAGATGTATATATTGTAAATAGTTATATCAGATCACCATGTATAATGTCTGACATTCACATACCATGTCCCGGTTTACAAAATGTTTTGCAAACCATTCAATTGTTATCTTGACTTTGTTGTTGTTCAGTTGTTTCAGTCTTGTCTGATGCTTTGTGTCCCCACTGGAGGGGAGGGGGGGTTCTTGGCAGAGATATTGGAGTGGTTTGCCATTTCCTCCTCACACTCATTTTATAGATGAGGAACTGAGGCAAATAGGGTAAAGTAACTTTCCCAAGGTCTTATAGCTAATTAAGTGTCTGAGGCTAGATTTGAACTCAGGAAGATGAGTCTTCTTGATTCCAAGCCTAATGCTCTACAGACTTCGCCACCTAGCTGCCATCTCAACTTTACAGATAATAAACACTGAAGCACAGAAAAAGCAAATTACTTTCCTAGGCTTAAGTTGCTAGGATCAGAAGCAGGATTTGAAATGAAGTGTTCTAATAACAAGATCGGGGTTCTACCTACCTCCCATGATTGCATTTGTACTATTAGTATCCATTGATGACATGATACGGGATGACAAAAAAAGCTAATATGAATTCAGTAATATTTTTAAATGAATTTGTATTTTATTCATTGGACACTGTGTGAAATCCGAAAATAAATTATTGGGTGATTTACTCCATGACAGATATCGTTACACGAGACTACGTCATTCTAAAAAGCCAGGTGGAAAAACCCCCAATTTTTTCCTATTCTAAAAAAATAAGCACCATTATAAAACCAGTGATTCCTGTCGTTTACTTTGTCAGAGCTAAATAAAGATCAAAACGACCATTCTTGGTGCCCATGTGGATTTGCTGACCCCTTAACACCTTGTTAATCCAGGTCTCTCTGGACTTCTGCAGTCCATAGATTGGGAACCACTGCATTATACCATATTGCTCCTCTGTGAAAAGATGATTTCAAATCAAATAAAAATGTTCTATTCATTCTTGCCACGGGGCAGTCCATCTCCCAACTCCGTGCCTTCACAAAGGCTGTGCTCCATGCTTAGAAGACATTCTTGTCTTACTCTGGCCTTTTTAGTATTTCTAGTTTCCTTCAAAACTCAGCTCAAATACCACATCCAACCTTTTGTAATCCCTCCAGCTTCCAGTCCCTCCCTGTCTCTGTTATATTAATTTCAAATAAATTTATATATGTATATATTGTCTTTTGTAATGGAATGTCAGCTACCTAAGCATGAAGATTACTTAATTTTTGTCATTGTATCTCCAATATTTAACAAAGAATATTTTGCACATAACAAGTACTTAATAAATGCTAATTGCTTGGTTAACTGATTCTACTCTTTCATTGCATTTTTGTAGGTACTTATAAATTTGGGGTTTTTATACTGAGAATATGAGAATGAGTAATATTTAGGCTTTCCATAAACTACATCTAGGAGGTGGCTGCAGTATGTGTATGTGTGTATCTGTAGAGATTATATATATATATATATACATATGTATATGTGCATATATGTGTGCATATATATACATTATATATATATATATACACACACACACACACACACACACACATAATTTACCAATATATTACCTTTCCTCTAAAATAGGAGCCTTCACAATAGTAGAAAAGGTTAATTTGGTACCACAGTTCATAGGAATTTATCCTGTCATGTCACATATTCATCTGTGAATCATTACAACAGAAACAACTCCTTAGCTCACAATGCAGCCATCAGAGGTCTTCTACCAAACATGTTGGTGACATGTTGACAACTTCCTTTTCCTTAAAAGCCTAGATCACGAGAGTTGGGGAGCCTCCTCTCCTGTCTTTGGAATGAAGAAATTATGGAGTCTCTTTTGCTGGCAGTAATTATGAGCAAGCAGATCCCATAAAGACCCCTATTGAAACATGGGACCCACCCAAGCTGAGGCTTAATACATT